GAAGGAGGGAGGGGGAGAAATGGAGCGAGTTAAGGCGCTCAAGCGTAGAAGCCAGCCAGCCGGCGTCACGTGACTGGGGGCGGTGCGGAGGAAGGGCGCGCGCCGAGGCTCCCCGCCGGGGCGCCCGTGCATGCACGCCCCGTGCTGCGCCGCGCGCCCCCGGGCTCCAGCCCCTGGTGGGCGTGCAACGCTCCAGGCCGCTGAACCCCCAGCCTGTACCCACCTTGCCGCCCCTCCCTCTTTTCCGCCCTCCCCTCCCCCACGCCCTTGACTCTCAGAGCAGGCCAGCATCCCCTGCTCAGCCAGCCAGCCAGCCAGCCAGCGGGGCCTGGAAAAGAGGCTTCCCACGTCCCGATTAACCGTGGCAGGCTGGCGTTTCCGCGGCAAACTCCCCTCCCTTTGCAGCCAATAGCGGGCGGGCGGGCATGCACGAGCCGCAGCAGGGGGTCCCCGCTGAGCCCCAAAGGAGCGGCCACAAAGGAGGGGGGAGGGAGTTGAAACAAAAAGCGAAGCGCGGGGTGAGGCTTAACTCTGGGGGCCCTACGTGGAGCCGAGCCTTCTCTCGGGAACGTGCCGCTTTTCTCCCCTCGACGCTTGGTTGCGTGAGCCGTGCATGTCAGCGGCTCGCTGACAGCTCCGGACGGTCCGTGTGAGCCGCTGCACGCGGACTTTCTCTGTGGCCGGCGTCCTGTGGGTCCGGGATCAGCTCATGCAGAATGGGACCCTCTTCGCTGCCCGGTAGTTGCTGCAGCTGGAGGGCAGCATTTATTATCGGCAAGCGTCGGGGCAAAATTTGGGAAACACTAGACTTTAAGTAAAAAACCACGCCCATTTCTGATTAGTTTGACAAGTTACGGAAAGAGCTCCCCTCCTCTATGAGGGTGGGGAGAGGGAGGGTGAATGATAAGTAAAAAAGCACCGCCGAACCTAGGTAAGACTCAAACCACGGGATGTGAGCTCCTTGTTTCTATAGCAATGGCTGCTGGGCTTGCAAAAAACCTGGAATGGGGAAGCTGGCTTGTCCTCAAGTGCTGGACAGGGACTTTTCTTTTTCATGGTCATTCCTTTCCAGCCAATACTTGGTCTGGCACACATCACACCTGACAGTGCTTGAAAACGAAGTCAAGGCGCAGCAAGTAGGTCATCAATAGTAGGTTACATGGAGCCATCCTAGTTTTGGGGAAGGTAGAAGCCAAGATCATTCCGAAGAACATCATTTTGTACCTCGAAAAATCCTGATAACTTAAATGACTTCGTTTCCAAGGTAAAGGGAGAACTTTTTCACATCGAGATCTAGGTTGATTGGAATAAAAGTAAAGAGCTTTATACAGGAACATGAGTTCAACCAGGTAGCATTTCAAACTTTTGAAGTCGTTTTGCCTAAAACTGTTTTCAAAGAAGATAATTTACAGAAGATCTTCCATATCACTACCTGGTCCTTCCAGGATTGAGAGAGCTGGCAATGACTGGCAGGGGGCAATTTTTCCCCTTCACTGAGTTATCTCTGTACCCAAACCACTTCAGGTTCGGAGCAGAGAGGGGAAAGTATGAAATTAGCTCAGAGGTGAGAGCTTGGATGGAGTTGATGAGACCAAGATCATGGGTTTCAATGAATCAGGCCAGTTAGCTTTGCACAAAGTGAAGAAGAACATGTTTTTAGGGTCACAGGTTTCGCTGTCAACCCGGGCCAGCCTTACAGGTCACAAATGCATACCTTTGATTAGAAGAGAGATCAAATCAGTGGATTTGCTCAGCTCAAGCCTATTATCACTACTGGAAAAACAACTCAGAGCTCAGTTGACAGGCTAAGTAGCATCATTTTTGTATACGTGAAAAGTACTTAAGTGGAATTTTTCCCATGCTTAACTCACATCCATAGTTAGAGGAACTTTGGTCTCCCAGAAATAAAGATTCATGCCATGCATTTCAGTCCTTCATAATAAACTGTTGCTCCCTCATCTTTTTTTTTCTTTCTCGTACTTACTACTGAATTAGATTGTGTGATATTTATGTCTTTTGTGTCTCTTATCACTCAAAAATTGTTAACACTTGCTTTGCATTCCCTGAAGGACCATGACTTCTATTTCTTTCGTTTTCCTGGGAGCATCTAACATGCTGAAGTATGCATTTAATAAATGTTGGGTGACTTGTTAACTTCATTTATCCAGCTATTTAGTGAGTTAGTCTACAATCATACAGAGTGGGAAAGGACTTCAGAGGTCAGTGATCAGGAATCCTTGATGTGATCACCCATCCTCCACTTGAAGACTGTCTCCCTCCACCTTCCTACATTCTGGTTCCAGCCTCTGCTTCTAGACCTGGTGTCTTGGTGCCAACTTGGTACCCCAGAGCCCATAACTCCTGATTTTCAAAAGGCCTCCATTTATAACTCATAATCCAGCCCCATCCCTAGCCCTGCTCTGACGCTCTCACAGCTTGTTCTCATCCCCTTCCCTTTTCCACCTCCAGCTCTGGAATCAGTAATCAAATCAACACTATGATTCAAAGAAAGGGTGAGTCACAATCCCAGTGACTTCCCAGGCCAAAACACCCATCCCAGGCAACCTCTTCCCCAAATGTGTAGTCTATTCTCATTAGAATATAAGCTCCTTGAGGGCAGAAACAGTTTGGATTTTTATATTTGCATCTCCAGCGCTTGGAACATAGAAAGCACTTAATACATTTTTTTTTTAATTCTTGGAGAACTCACTATTTCTCAGGCAATCCATTCTACTTTGGAATGGTTCTAATTGTTAGAAAGCTTTTCTTTCCATCAAGCTGAAATCTGCCTGCTACTCTGAAACATATGATCATATATTTGAGCTAAAAGAGAATTTAGAGATAATCTAGTCTATTATAGGCCAAGCCAAGCTAGTCTATTATAGGCCAAGCCTTAAGCAGATTCAAGGTTTAAAATATAACTGTGGAACATAAAACACAAATTAAGACCAACTTTACTAAGACGAGTTTACAAAGGGCACAATTCCAAAGTTAAAGTGATAGAAAATATTACCTTAGGTAGTCACCACAAACAACAATCATCCAGAAAAGAAGCCATCAATTTACCTCCCCCCGAGGCAATTGCAGAATTGAGGACTCCATTCCCCCTCCGCTCTAAGGCTCTTTATATTTAAAGGGTCAGAAACCCCGCCCTCCCCATCTCTTTATTCAGGGGCCAACCTACTTTACCAACTGCTTGAGATGCGTAGTGTATATGTAGCATTGAAAGGAGCCACAGAGCAGGAAAAAGAAGGGAAGAGAAGAGGTGGGAAAGATCGTTCATTCCTTCCCAACATCTTATCCATATAAAACCAACAGAGTTCCTTCCACACAGTTTGACTCATCCCTTTCATAGAGGAGCACCCCAAGGCCTCAGCTGGGCATTGACTCGCTTAGTTGCCTAAGTAGTGAGCAATAGAACTTGGATGTCAATTCAGGTTCTCTGACTCGAAAGTTTGTCTTCATTAATGCACCGAGTTCTCTGTTGTTCCTAGTTCTGCTAGCCAAGGTGAGGAAGATGGTCGAACTCCTCTTCCAAGACAGATCTTCAAATATCATGTCCTTCCAAAGCATTCTCTTCTCTAGACTTACAATTCCAAGTCCTTCAACCAATTCTCATATAAAATGCCACTCTAGAGTGCCAGGCCTGGAGTCAGGAAGATCTAGCTTCCTGCTTTCAAATCTGGCCTCAGACACTAAATGTGTGACCCTGTACAGGTCACTTAATCCTGTTTGCCTCAGTTTCCTCATCTGGAAAATGAGCTGGAGAAGGAAATGGCAAACCACTCCAGTATCTTTACCAAAAAAAACCCAAATGGAATCGGGAAGAGTTGGACAGGACTGAAAAATGACTCTGAGAGAGACATATTTAATAAGAATGACATCTATGCCTTCATACAAGTCTTGAGAAATTCTTGAGGGCCTTCCTGTTCAATATAGGATTTATTCAAGTCTGATACAGTTTTAGGCTTCTGACTGAACAAAATTACAAAAATAGTTGAGGGTCCAACAATATGGGCAGATTTTTAAAAAACGTAACGTATCATTCCTGTCTTTCAGGTCCTTACTGAAGGCTAGTTTAGAGAGTTAGGCTATGACAAGTGGAAAGTGCGTGTAACATTATAAGTAAGAGCCCAGTTAAAAGACCATTATTATAATAGTCTAAGTAACAGGATCCCGAACTATGATTGTAACAGAGGGAAGAAAAAGAAAGTGAAAGGAAAAATGAATAGGATTTAGCGTCTGATTAGATAACAGGAAGGGAAGAAAGGGTAAAAGAAGGGAGTCCAGGATCACTCAGGTTTCAAAACTAGATGGCTGCTATCAACAGAAACGGGGTCATCTTCAGTAGGTGAACTGAGGGTCAAGTA